GGGGGACGGACCCAGGGGGGGGGGGGAGGGGAGGGGAGGAGGCTGCAGACTGTTTACATGTGATCTCGGCGGCATCGCCGAGTTCACATGTAAACAAACAATCGGCTTCCTCACTCTACATTTAGCCCTGCTTGTGCAAAGCAGGACTAAATGTAGAGAGGGCAACTTACCGCCCGACGGGCGGAACTTCCCCACAAAGACACCGCTGCCGCCCCTCTGCGCTAAAAAGCCCACAATGTGGGGTTCTGCTGTTGCGCGCCTGCTAGGGGGCGCGCACGGAAGTACATTTACGTGACCCCGCCGGGAAGGATCCACCGTCCGCCTGTAATTTTACGATGGGTGGACGGCAGGGGGGTTAAACACTCCTATCTACACTGGTGTTCAGCCTGAAGCTGACAGAAAAATCCAGCATAATAAATGCATGTGTTGGTGTGTAATTTTGAACAGTGTTCAGAGGTGTGTTCTGTCCCTGCTATATGTTGCCCTGTGTACAGCTTGACATGGCAGGTAAACCCGCTATTCTGCAATAAGCCAGACCGAGTGATATCTAGATGCTTTATTAACAATCAGCATAAAAAACATGTAAATATAGCGTCGGCTTACAAATACAAAGCAAAATAAGTCCATCCATACTTTATGCTGCCTACAGGGAATTTGGGCGCTTTCCTCCATACACATGCTTAGGTTGGTAGTGTATTCTTTCTCCTCTGTTCTAAAATAGAACTTGAATTCCCAGAATGCTCTTGTTTCCTTCTCTTTGAGCAGCCTGTGTGTGTTGTAAAGTAGCCATCACTCCAAGCTCTCTCCTGTGATGGAATACTACTCTCAATACAAATTAGTAAACTAAACCTGAGATTATAGTCCATCACAGAAGTGAGCTTGGAGCAGTGGCTACTTTACAACACACACAGGGACCTCAATGTATTTTTAAGGTTTAACTCCTGAGCTTAGTGTCACTTTAACATGCAGCATATGAGCATTAAAACAAACCCCTCAATGACCTCTGTAGCTGAAGGAACTGTAAATTCATCCTGAAAGTTCACAGCAGAAATACTGAAGTCCTTCATGTCATTCTCTTGGCACCATTCTCTCAGAGAAAACAAAGTTATACACATACAGCACCATGATACTGTATATTATATACTGTATGCTTGAGAAGAATGTCATGAAACATCCAGAATGTTGGATTGAACATGGAAGCAGTACCAGCACTCTGATAAGTCACTGGGGTTGATTTAACCAGTTGACATCCGCGGTGTTAAACCTCCTTCCCATCCAGGCCATTTTTCAGTATTCAGCGCTGCGGTACTTTAACTGATCGCGAAACCTCAAAAAACGATAATACCCAAAATTGGCCCTGATTTGCTCATCAGTTTAGTGTTATCAGTGATTGATGGCCCTAAAATGATTGCTCTCACTGCGACGTTCGCGGCGATATGTAACATGTGTAGCGCAATTGTAATTTTTGCGCGCTGGGGCACCGGACGCGTATTTACGTTTATAGGCGCGTAAAAGCATAGCAGAGATCTGCTTTATCAGCTTCTTCTCTCTCCAGATGACTGACAGGTGAATGCGGAAGTGATGTAACACACATCACTTCTGCATTCACAGCCCGGACGGGGATCAGCAAGGAGCTGATCTCCCGTCCTCCTCCTCCTGCCGCCCTCAGAGGTTCCGTCCGTTTACTACGGGCGGACGGCAAGAGGTTAATAAAGGAGGTAAGACTGCTCAGTTAGCAAATGTTCACTGTGCATAGTGAATAAGGTGAAGCTATGGTCACTTTAATTGACCAATCATGAAGTCCTGTTTTTAAATATCTCTTGCATATGAGTGTGCATTCAAAGGGAACACAGACTGGCCTAATTTGCTGACTAAACAACCTTGCAAAGTGAAGGCTCTACTGCATTAGTAAATCTAATCTATCTGTGCTCACTCTTCTCTCTTCGTCTGTTAGCATGTTCCCTGTCGGCACATCTCTCTTCCAGTATGTGCACTGCTGTGTAAGAGATGACACAAGACTTGTACCAATACAGATTCTGCTACCTATGCTATTTGTATAAAAAATGTGTCTAATGTATTATTTTTAAATTAATGCACAGTAGCTTTAACTGATTTTTTTCATGTGCATGTATTAAACTTAAGACAAAACTGAGGTGTCATATAATACATAACAAAAAGGTATTCAGTGTGTTACATTTAATTTTTTGTAAAACAGCTAAAGCCTGAGTAGAAAAGCCTGTCCTCTGCCAGCAGCTGCAAAGTGGAGCCATTGCTTTTCATGTGGAAGCAGTGGTCTCTCTCCAGAGGTCCAGCACACTCCTACTGAACTGGAAGCTGGGTAGGTCTGGTAAATCAACTAGAGAAATCTAATTTATTTGAGTTTTAGATACATACAGGATGTGATAAGCATTTTTGTTGCTTTATATTATGTACTTTCTCCATCACTTCAATGGTGTTTATTATATCCTATGCTTATGGTAAGATGTACAGTAAATATACATACGGTGCTAATAACACATGTATAAACATAAATACAGACTTAAACAGGAAACAAAAGCTATAGTAAACTGAACCTCATTCTAGGTACAATAGGATGTTCAGCCTTTTATAGCTTCCAGCCCATCATGCAAATTTCATCTCTGCTTCCTGTCTCATCCTGCCAGGTAGAAAAGTGAGCTCTTGGTGTCCTCTCAGAACACACAGATCATCTAAAACCAATAAGACATCATGTTTCTGTTCTCTTGTCTTTTGTGTCTGTCTTCATTTCTTGGTAAGTCTGGGAACAAACAAAAAAGCAGTAATCAGTTCTGATGCGATAATCCTATTTAGGATGATGTTTTTTCTTGGTTACAGGAGTCATGTCACAAACACTTACTCAGTCCTCATCAGAAATAAAAAAGCCTGGAGAGAGTGTGAAGATGTCCTGTGTAGGATCTGGATATACATTCAGCAACTACTATATAAGCTGGGTTCAACAAGTCCCAGGGAGAGGACTGACATGGATTGGGAGGATTGATCCTGCTGATGGAGATACAGATTATTCATCTTCACACCAGGGAAGATTCACAATAACATCTGATAAGTCCATAAACACAGCATATCTACAAATAGACAATCTGAAAGTGGAAGACACGGCCACATATTACTGTGCTAGATACACAGTGATCCAAGGATGGCTCCTGTCATACAAAAACATCCATCTGTAATGATTTCCTATTACCACCTGGCTGTAGTATATCCTCAGTAATATTTCAGTATATCGAGTATACACAAAATACAGAGTGTTGTTTCTTCCATCTAATATATAAAGCCATTCCCTAGTGACCATTCATTTACCTTTCATGACTAGAATAACAACAAATTTACTTCCGGTACATTCATTCTAGTGTAAAGAAGAGCGCAAAGAATGTGATGTCAAGGACAGTTAATGAAAATTATGCGGAAATTAAAGGATGGAATCTTTTCCAGATTGTGTACGGTAATCTATTAGTATATCACAGTTTACAATCAAACGTTTTGTGCATTTTTACATTTCCCGTTTTCAAGTGTCCCAGAAACTCACAGGCTGTAGCACTTTCCCATAAAAATACAAATTCCAGGGAGTGTTGGAAGAAAACTGAATATAATCGCTAACACCAACACTTTAACACCATCCCGTGCACTAAAATATTTAAACAAAATATGAAAAAATAATAATATGTGAACAATTAATAACAGTGTAATCTCTATTAAAAAATAATTCTACATGTACATAATAGTTGCATTTTCAATTGAATTTGCATAAACCACTTGAAGCATCCATTGGGGTCTATTCACTAAGCTGCCGAGTGAATGACCGACCTGAAGCTGAACACTTCGGCTATTCACTTCAGGCTGGTACGGCTGATTTCAGCCGTACATCGGCTGAAATCAGCCGTACATCGGCTTGCTTCATGTGGCATCGGCTTGCTTCATGTGGCTTTGGGTCGGCCGAACATGCTCAGCATGTTCGGCTGACCCGAAGTGCAGAAGGAGTTCGACTCAGCCGACCCAACATCTGGATCGGCTGAGCCGAACCTCCGGCAGGCTTCTCACTGCTGTTCGGGCTATTCTTAAAGATGCCGAACAGCAGTGAGTGAATAGCCGAATGCCACCGAGCGGCATTTGGCTCGGCTGTTCTGCTGGGTCCCTCAGGGGGACCGAGCAGAACAGATAAAGAGTGAAAAAAGTTTAAAAAAGTAAATAGAAAACGATTGTGCGGAGCTAGCAGTGACAGCTAGCTCCGCCCAATAGTTTCCTATTGTCTGGCGGCCCTGCTGCAAAAAAAAAAAAACTCTCCCGGGCGCTCTGCGAGTCTCCCGCTCCCGGCTGCCCAGGAGAGAAACACTGCAGTGTCTTTTTTTTTCTTTATTGTGACACGAGCGATGTCGGACTAGAAAACATTTTTCCCATTGAAAAGCATTGGTACATTACTATTGGCTATTTCGATTTGCAATAGCCAATAGTAAACTAGCATTGTACCCGCCCTCTGCTGATGGACCTGATGGGGAACTGCAGCGGAGGGCGGCTACAATGCTGGTTTACTATTGGCTATTGCAAATTGAAATAGCCAATAGTAATGTCCCAATGCATTTCAATGGGGAAAAAACATTTATTTTTATTTTTTCTATTCTGACATCGCTCCGTGTCAGAATAAAGAAAAAAAAGACACGGCATTGTTTATCTCCTTGGCGGCCGGGAGCAGGAGACTCCCGGGGCGCCAGGGAGATTTGCTGTTTGGAGATCAGTGTCCCAGCAGGTAACCAGGGACGCTGATCTCTCTGCAAGTGGCCAGAGCCAGCCGTAAGATCACGGCTGGCTCTGCCCAGCTGTCAGAAGCAGGCTGTCGGCCGGCCGCTCGGCCAGCTTCGGCTTTCAGCACGGCTCAGCCGAGCCGATGCATATGCGTTCGGCTTGACTGAGCCGCTCGGCCATGATCGGGAGCTGTACGGGCTATTGTGAATCCGAAGCTACGGCCAGATCCTTTGGCAGCTTCGTGAATAGGCCCCATTGTGTTAACCTACTTCAACTGCTTTTTTATTATTTGTTCATTGCAAATGGCTGAACGTTTGTAAATATTGCCAATAAACCTGATTTGCAATGGGGGATGAATAATTTTGATTGCAACAGTATATATATTTTGGGGATGCAGAAGTCATTAAAAGTTGAATTTTCAGCTGAATGTGGGGAAACTACTTGAAACATTAATTGTGTTGACCTATTTCAATTGCTTTTGGTTTATTTTATTCATTGCAAACAGCTAAAAGTCTGTAAATTTTTCCAATAAACCTGATTTGGATCTGAGATTTAGAAGCATTTACCTTATAGTAGGACACCTCGCTAAAAGTATTCAACATTGACGAAACCGAAGCCAGGGAAGACACAGGATTTGTAAGCAATAGGAGCACATCATCCGCAAAGAGATTTATGGTGTGGTCGTTTTTCCCGAACTTGAACCCGGTTATAAGAGGGTGGGATCGGATGGATTCGGCTAAGGGTTCTATGGCAAGATCAAATATTAAAGGGGATAGGGGACACCCCTGCCTAGTCCCGTTTGTAATAGAGAAGGGTGCGGAAAATGCGTCCATAGTAAAGACCCTGGCTGAGGGGTTGGAGTAGAGGGCTAAGATGGCCGATTGTATCCACCCACTAAAGCCAAACTTATGGAGCACTTGATGAAGGTAGCCCCAGTGGATGCGGTCAAACGCCTTTTCAGCGTCTAATGCTAAGAGAAGTTGAAGAGCCGCGGGAGAGAATCAGCGGTGCCAATTAAGCCAGCAATAGAGGAAGCGAGGCGGCAGCACATGGAGCAGAGCCGCATAAGCCGATGCTTCCTCTATAGCGCCGACTCCTGTCACAGGTGGAGTGATACCAAATGCACTCCACCTGTGAGGAATCGATAGTGAAAGTGCGCTTTGCTTTTTCTGGTTACTAAATTGTTCTTGGAAAGGTACGGCACCCCTGATTGCCCTGACCACCATATTCTTAACTTTGCCATTTTGGATTATTTAATTTGGACTTGCATTAACTTTGGATTGTTATACATTAAAAACAAATAAAAATAAGGCCTACCCCGAAAATAAGACCTAGTGTGTTTTTTTTTGAGCCACAAAAAATATAAGACAGTGTCTTATTTTCGGGGAAACACAGAATATACACGGTATATATATATATTGTGGCAACAGGCAGAAAAAAATATCTGAGTCTAGCCAGGATGGCAGAGTTGTATGCCTAGATTCAGATATAGTATTGAAGTTCTTCCTCTAGGGGTAAGTGCTGAGAGGGCTGGAGGCTTGGAGGTAACAAGCCCAGCAGAAGCTAGCTGGCTTGTTAGGGCCTCTACAAGAACACTCAGAGGGTTATTCACAAAGCTGCCAAAGGCAGCCGTGTGAATAACCGACCCAAAGTGAAGCATTCGGCTCAGCTATTCTGCTCGGTACCTCTGTACCGTAGAAAAAAACCAGAAAATGATTGGGCGGAGCTAGCAGTGACAGCTAGATCCACCCAACTGTTTTCTTTTGGCCGGGACCAGCTCAGCTGTCATTACAATGAGAGCTTGGCGGAGCCAGCGGTGATATCAAAGCCGGCTCTGCTAAGCTCTCATTGTAATGACAGAACTTAGTAGAGCCGGCTTTCATATCACCACCTGCTTCTCTAAGCTCTCATGACAGTTCAGCATCCCCTTGTTACCAGGTAACCAGGGGATACGGAACTGTCATTTCACACTGCCATTACACACTGATATCAGATCACAGCATTAGCATTAGCTCCCTGTTATCTGCTGATTCCCCTGCTATGTTTTTTTTTTTCTATTATGTGGACAGCTGCCGCAGACTGCCGTCAGAGTAAAGAAATGTAAAAAAAACAACAAATAGCATAGGATTGAATAGCTAGGCTGCTATTGTCCATTTCAAATTGGAAAAGCCATTAGTAGGCTGGTTATTGCACCCGCCTACTGCTGCTGTCAATCATTTTTTTTTTTTTAAATGGGATCAAATAAAATAAATTTAAAAATAGTAAAAACACTTTTAAGTTCCCCGCCCTTGCAAGAGCGCTCGTATTAATGTAAACACGTGTTGAGTGCGCTTACGTACTAAAATGACAATCGCGCTACACATGTTAGGTATTGCCTCACGTGCCAGAGTGAGAGCAATAATTCTAGGGCCAATAATCATGGACATCTCTAAACTGATAACCTGCAGGGGATTTTAAAGCGTCGCCTATGGACAATTTGAGGTACCTTATTTTGTTGTTGTTTCACAGATGCACACAATTTTTAACCTGAGCATGTTGGGTATCTATTTATTCATCATAACTTCACCTTTTCTTTTTACAAAAAAAATTATATTGTGTTTTGGGGCACTAAAATTAACTTAAGTGCATTTGGCAGGTGGGAATCAAATTGCAGGTACTGGTCTGTATGTGTTGGTTTTCGGTAGACCTCTATTTCCAGCCTCCTTCCCTCTTCTACTGTTACTAAACAATCCAAGAAAGCCAGTTTGTTGTTTTGCATATCTTCCTGTGTAAACTTGAGGTTATGATCCACTGAGTTGTTGTGGTCAGTGAATGCCTGTAACTCTTGTTTGTGAATCTTAACCCAAGTGTCATCCACATATCTAAACCAATGACTGGGTGTAATTCCCTGGAAGGTGGTCAGGGCCTTTCTTTCTACTTCCTCCATGTACAGGTTCGCCACAATAAGTTTCTCTTTGTTCTGCAATGTCCCCGTTTCCTCCTCCTGCCTCCAAATTAGTTTCTCCCCAGCAATGTGTGCAAAAAGCACAAAAGTTTCCTTGGCATAGAATGGGTTAAAGTAATTGTGCCAGTAAGGTTAGGAGGAAAGAGGGACAGAGGAATTTGGTTTCTAAAAACGGACAGTCATCCTAAAGGGACAGTAGAATATTCAGCCAAATGCCCCCCATGTAAACCTGCACTATATATGTATGTGCTGACACTGCGTTCATGTTTCCCAGCCAGGCACCTTTCATCTGGGAGGGTGCTAAACACAAAGAAAGAGATGGCATTTTCACTTTGGTGCAGAATACAGTTTTGCATGCACTGCTGGTATCTGAGCGCTAATGTGAAGGAGATTCCTCTTTACTGCTTTAACTATTTGTATTTACAAACAGTTTTTTTAAACCTTTTCAATCCTAGCTAATCTCAAGTAACTGGCAGAAGAATGCTAGCA